AGAGAGAGAGAGAGAGAGAGAGAGAGAGAGAGAGAGAGAGAGAGAGACTCTCTTTGACAGAGCTACAGAAAGGTAGGTAGGTAACAAGGGGGGGAGGGAGAGAGTGAGTCATAGCTCGTCCCACAGGACTGAGTGGGTTTGCTGAGTGGAAGAGGATGGCGTCAGCAGTAGGCCTGACAATTTAAGAAGACACATTAAAAGAGGAGGAAGGAGAGAGAGAAAAAGAGCTAATGGGTGGATGGAGAGAGATATTGATGGGAGGGGTTGGCATGGAGGGGGCGGAAGGCAGGAAGGGGTATCCCCATAGCACTGGGAGATAGACGAGAGAGGGGTTGGCAGGAAGGACAGAGAGAGACGTAGATGGAAAAAGATAAACCTTTCACCCCCCCCCATTTGTGTTTTCTGTCATGTTCCTCTGCCTTCAGAATGTTTCTTTTTGTTGCTGTTGTCAGCTAAGTTTCCCTGGTCTGTTTTTCTGATCCATACCATCACCCTTATCACATTTTATGTAGCTCATTACAGGAATTATATGTACAGTATGTGTGTATTAGCCAATAATGCATGTGTCCATATTTGTGTTGTGTGAAGCACAGACCGCTTTAGTTAGAGTTTGCCTGCACCGTTCCTCTACGGTCCACAGAGCTCTGCCTACCCCCCCTCGTTCCCTCCCTGTGTGAGATTGTGCAACTGACGCAAAGGGGAATCCTCTCTGACACCGGCAAACACTGGTACGCACACACTTCCAGCACTGCTGATGTATAATATGTGCAGGCACTGAGCTTGCACAAACTCTGCCATTACAACACACACACACATTAGCCTGCACTCTGTGAAGACATAACCTTGCTGCCTTTTGTGAAATAACTTCTCTGTGACGTCAAACGGGCGAGGCTGAATACAGAGGAGCTGAATTGGGTCGAACTGCCTGTGTACGTGTCTCCCACGGCTGTCTGTGGGTTTGTACGCGCTCGCTCGCTCCTGTTTGCAGCGTTCTGCGCTTCCATTCACCTTCATCTTTCATTCAGCCTCTGCAGAGAAAATGGCTACGTTGTGTTCCTCCATTCTGAAATTCCAAATAATGCAGTGAATGAAAGAAATAACTGCTACTAATAGCGGCTCGCAATCATTACCCACACAAAATTATAGGACGAGACGGCATCCTCTGTTCACTTGCACTCTGGCTGTCATTAAAGAGAAATAATCAGAGTGGGACAGAAAAGGTGGCGACTGTAGGTTCATCTGTCCATCTATACTGTCTCTGCACTGTAACTGTATATGTTGTTCTTCTGTAGGTGGATTGTCTTTCCATACAGAATGGATGATGATAATCAATTATATGATTCATCAAGAAAATATGAATAGAAGCCCATTCATTATAAGTCCACATTTTAACTGTGGATGTTGTCTCAATATAACTCAACAAAAACCAAGGGTATTGCTTATATATATATATTTATATTCTTTTTTTTTTTTTTTTTTTTTTTTTTTTTTTTTTTTTTTTTTTTTTTAAATCACAGCTTTTGAAACTAATTTATTTGTGCTCTTGCTTTTGGCTCCATGTGCATGATGTCTGCCAGTGAACCAGATATTAGTTATCTGATGAGTTGATCAGTTAACAGACGTTGTATAGACCGGCTACCATGCAGGAGAATTCCTCTCGTTTCTCTGTCTTGCCCCGTTGCTAACTATTGCTGAGACCCTGACCCAGCTTGACCTGGATCAGCTAAATTTGACAGTGAGCTCATACCTGCACGGAGTATTTGGTCTGGCTAGTCTACGGTCTGAAATGGTGATATACGTTTGTTAACAGACACGCATACTCTCAATGACGAGACATATAAGCGCTCCCTGTTGTCTTTCACTCACTGTGTCCCTCCATTGGCTGTCTTTGGTGTGGTAACCTGACACTGGGGGGCAGAGCTGTGTACCACCGGTGGGTCTCAGCTGGTGGTTTGGTAATGCGTGTGAATTGGGTCAGAGTGACCTGCACTGCATTAAGACAGCTGATGAGGATCATGGGGATTTTTGGTGTAGGTAAGGGATGTCTGGAAAAAGTTTTTTTTGGCCTCAATCCCAGTCCGAGTCATTTAATATTTAGTACCTGTCGATGCAGAGTCCCGATCCGATATCCATATTTTGTAAGATAATAGAGTTGCACAGGGCACACTTCAATTACATCAAAGCTATTAAAATCAATCCATTCTATATATGCTTGACTTTGTCACTCCTTCTACTGCTACTACTTTCTGCCAGTAAGGGCTTTGTGGCAGAAAACCTTTATAATAGCTGCTGTGTGACTACTCTCACCCGGGTGTAAGACACTGTTAATTCATTCAAAGGAAACTCCTTTTATTTGCCGTGTTAGAGACGCTGTATACGGCTCTGGTAGCGACCAGCCAATTACGTTAGCCTCGCCCTAAAGCATATCCTTCTTTATTGTCTATTTTACTCTTAAAGGGACCATAATTGACTAAATGAACATTATGCTGTGTTGAAGAAGACTTGAAACTAGCGATTAAGACCATAATGTCATGTTTGCAATGTTTACTGAGGTAATTAATCAAGTGGGAAGTAGAGTCATTTTCTCATAGACCTCTATACAATCTGACCGTTTGCAACCAGAGGAGTGACCCGCTGATGTGCGGTCGAGAGAATGCAAGTTTAAGGCACTTCCACATTGGCTTCATTCTTGGTCCACCTGGTATGGAGCCAACAGTGCTCTGTGTCAGGCTGACCGACACACTGACTAAACTGGGACACAACGGGCAGTGCTGCAGTGTGCAGCCTGTGTCACGACGCATTGTAGTTAAATTCTTAGGCCCAGATAACACCTGGTGTCACCACTGCATAAGAATAAATATGTTCTTTATTAGTACTAGTTACCATAGTATAACACTGGTAGGGCAGGGAACGTTACAACAACACTATGGTAACATGGACATACTGCTGTGTTGAGATAATTAACACAATCGCTATTTTCCATCAACAATAGTGCAACATTACTTGAGGCAAATTTGGTTTCCTCATCTGCTCTTCTCAGACTTGCAATTTAAGTTTGTGTTGATGCAAACATGACCTGTTCCTGTCGCTGCTTGTGTCATTTTAATGTGATGTGTTGGTCACTGATCATCTTCATAGGCTTTAATAGTTCAGCAGCACTAATTTGACTTCTGCTACTTGATGTCACGTTACCTGGAAAAGTGAGAGCCCACATTGTTGTTTGGACCACAGTTAAAGATTTCCAGCAGCAATAGCATACAGTCTCTCACTTCTTCTTTCTTTGCATCCTGCCCTGTTCTCTCAGTATCCTTCCATCTGTGCACATTATAATCCACATACTTATTTTTAATATCAATCTTCTACCTGCTCTTCTCACTGCTACTCGCCCAACACAAATGGCAGCAGTTGAGAATGACGTTACCATCTCCTTGGCAACACTGTGTGTGTGTGTGTGTGTGTGTGTGTGTGTGTGTGTGTGTGGGTGGAAGCAGGGGTGGGGGGTGTTGAGGAGAGAGCTGAGGAAACATAAGAGAGGCATGGGTAGAGGAGGAGAGATGAGAGATCAGGTAAAGCTGGTTTATTCAGCTCCCCGTTTCTGGCTCTGATTCACAATTTGTCCTGCAGCCCCTCCCTGTTATTGCTATGCTATGCTATTGGTCCACTCAGCCTCGAGATTGACACTTGAGATGGATGAATATCTAATCCAAAACCATTATTTATTTTTTAGTGCAAGAATACTCTGTGTGTGTGTGTGTGTGTGTGTGTGTGTGTGTGTGTGTGTGTGTGT